AAAATCATTTTTCTTACAAGAAAGTGCTGATGGAAAGATTTATCTTAAGAGAAACCACAACTACTTCTATCAATTACAAGGCCAACTTTTTGTTTCTGGATTTGAATTTATTGAYTTTGTTGTGTATTTTGGCGATGACATTCCTGTTTTCATTGAAAGAATTTATTTTGACAAACAATTCTGGGTTGATAACATGTATCAACAACTTGAGTTCTTCTTCAAGAAAGCACTTTTACCTGAGCTGTTGACAACAAGAGTAAAGAGGAAAAGAAAACTTTACATTCAAGGTGGATGGGAGCCCTGGTAAGTATAAATTGATTTACTRAKCTCATACATTCATGAAATACTATTAAGATAACATTACAAGGGTATAGTATAAGCACTCTATAAAGAAAATTATTTTTAACAGTATAAAATTGAAAGGATGCAATGWGTATAAATWAATAGTATAAAGTTTTTGGTCAGTACTAATAATTTTAATTATTAAAATAACTTGTATGGTTATATACTAAGTACTTTGTGGCTTACTTATCAAGACTGCACATTCTTTTTCAGCAGTGGAGGAAGAAAATTGGTCAAAAASGAACAAACAAAMAAAATCTGATTTGCATAAGGTGTGAGACTTAGAGGTAAGCTGCCATCCAATATATGGTAATTTTTGATGCGCCCAATTGCTCTCTCCACATGTATTCTTACTGAGGCAATTTTCATGGTTTTTTCAGTTTCTTCAGCTGTCATCTGTTCTCTGGAACCAAGGAATGGAGGCATATTSACGCGAACACCAAGAGGAACTATATCATCTATTTCAAATCCCCTGTCAACCATGAYGTTGTCTCCTTGTTCAACAAGATTCAACACACCTGACTCTTTCACAATGAGTTTGTCTGATGCCCTTCCACCCCATAAATCAGAAATATATGTCACTTGACCATTTGGAGAAATTCCAACCAATGCTTTCAGAGTGTTATGATGTTTATAATCAGACCAGGTCTGACTTTGAGTTAGCATTGATGATGGTCGCTGAATATATATCTCAGTGCAATCGAGAATAATTCTAGTGGTGGGAAATTCACAAAATTCTTCAGGGATATTTCTTTGTACACGTTCTTGTGATGGAAATGGGAATATAAGAGGCAGCTCCTTTCGCAATAAGCAAAGCCAAGTTATAGTAATCTTTGATATTAAACCTACACTTACATGGGATCTGTCAGACAAATCCTGGACAAACAGTCCAGCTTTCAATCTGAGTAATACAATAAAGAACTCTGTAAGATGACTTAATTTCCTTTTTGGACCTGGTTTATCTTTTACTGTTTCACGTTGATAACAAAACTCCTCTTGATGTTGTTTTTCACCTGTCCAATACCTCATTTTTTTAAGTTTAGGTTCAAGGTATTCATAAAAGCTGATCAATGTAGAATGATTGGGAAATCCAGTATAAAACAGCATTGCTTCATCATCGTTTTTGATTTTTTCTAGTGAGAACTGGCTTTTTTTGAATTCTTCAACCTCATCCTGTAAGTCTTTTATTTGTTGTGCTAGCTCAGCAATTCTTCTTTGTTTCTCTATCAATTCTTTATGTAATGAATTAAGAGATTCTTCTTGTACTACACAAATGTTACTTTCAGTCTGAACACCAACATCTAATGGACTCGAAGATTCAGATGAAGCCACACTTCTTTTGGGTAATTTAGGTAGAGTTGGAACTCTCTTTTTAGGTGATGGTCTATTTTTCTTTTCTGTGCTCCAAGAAAAAATACTTGGTTCTACA